GAAGATAAGGTGATGTAAAGAAGCTGGTATCTTCATAAAAAGTGACATCGGCGGAGATGAAATACTTTTTAGAAGGATGGTAGCATTTATATCCCTTTATATCCAAATTGATTTTCGATCATATGGAAGAATGTTGGATGGTAGAACCAACATCAGATTTTTGTTTTAGAAGATAAACCCACGCAACCCTACTACAATCATTAATGAATACAATAAACCAGCGTAATTTGGAAGTATTTGGCAAGTCGGAGGAACCCCAAACATCACTATGAATAAGAGAGAAAGGAACTGAAGTTCGTTTATTATTACTAGGAAATAGAACACGCTTGTGTTTAGCAAATTCCACACTGTATTGAATTAAACCCACACTGTATTGAATCAAAACTAAAGTTTTGGAACAATCTGGGAATAAAATTTGAAGAGATCTAAATGAGGCATGCCCAAGTCTATAATGATACAACCAAAGTTTATTTAAAGAGGGATGAGTTTGTGAGGAAACAAAGACTTGAACATCCTTCCCAACACTATCCTTGCCAATAGATTCATCAAGATAATAAAGTCCACCTTTTTCTTTAGCAAGTCCAATTGTCTTCCCATTGCCCTGGTCCTGAAAAATACAAGAAGGAAAAAATGTTACTTTGCATCCCAAATCTTGTATCAAATTTCTTACTGATATCAAATCAACAGTTAACCGGTGTATATGGAGCACATTTTTTAAGGTAAAGTTAGAATTTATTTGGACGTCTCCTTGACCAGCCACTGTTAATAGAGTACCATCTGCAGTAGATATTTTTTTATTGCTCGGACAAGGACTATAGGAGATAAAATGACAACTACTCTTTGTTATATAGTCAGTTGCACCAGAGTCAATAATCCAAGTAGAGAGTTTAGGATGTGAAGTTGTACCTGAAAAGGCTACTAAACATGTACCTTGATTAGGATTCTTTTGTAAGGTTTGCAAAAAACTCCTTAGCGTTTCAATCTCATCTGTGTTTAGTTTTCATTTTTCAGAAATCTCTTCTGTCAACGCCTTTCTGACTTCATGAAATATGAGCTTGACTATTTCCTCTATTTGCATTACCTTTATTTGACCAATTCTTGGAATTCGAATTCTGATAGTTTTCAGGTTTTCCATGTAGCTTCCAACATTTATCCTTGGTGTGCCCTGGTTTCTTGCAATAAGTGCATACCACACGGTCTTTATTTCTTGTTTTTCCTACATCCCAATTGTTAGCTCCTATACGTTGCTCTTCATCAGTCATTTTAGTACCTCCTGTTTTCATGACCGATCCTTCTGTCTATGGTTCCAACATAATACTAAGGCGAGATTCTTCACTTCTAATAATGCCAGTAACTTCATTCAGAGATGAGAGATCTTTGCCCAAAATTTGTATTCGAACAGCATCAAATTCTACATTGAGACCAGCGAGAAATGTATAAATTCAGTCTTTTTCAACAAACTTTTTTAGAGTAGCAGCATCATCAGTACATTTCATATCAATGCATTGATAATGATCCAGTTTTTGCCACAAACTTTGAAGAATTGTAGAATATTCTGTCACTGTTTGATTGCTTTGTTTTGTTCCAAAGATACGAGTTTTGATATCAAATATTTGTGCATCATCTTTTACTTTGGAATAAGTTTGCTTCATTGTTTCCCATATGTCCTTTGCGGTCTTAAGAAACATACATGTATCACTAACAGTAGGAGTCATTGAATTCCATAACCAAGACATGATCATTGAATCTTCTTCATCTCAGGCATCAAACTTTGGATCTTTCGGTTTAGGTCATTCCCCAATAATGTGGTTCAATTTTCCTTTTCCTTTCAAGAAAGTTCGAATAAGTTGAGACCATTTTAAATAATTTTTCCCATCCAATTTATAACTAGGATGGATGTATTGTAGGTCTCCTGTGGAAGATTTATTAGTTTCTTCCATGATAGTTTCTTTGTAAGCTTTGGTGGAATCCGTTGACTTTGATTAGAGAAAAGTTAAACAAATAACATGAGAGCTGGATAAACCTGTTGAACCGGACCAAATCAAGTAGAACCGGACCAAAAAATGACTGAACCGAGACTAATCTGAACAGAGGTTAGAAACTGAACCAAGCCGAACCAGAAATCGTGAACCGAACCAACAAATGTTTAGATTTCCCTTTTAAAACCCTAGCAGCCACCCTTTATGACAACAACCCTAGCAGCCACGTGAATCAGCAAACGGCGGCAGCAGCAGCGTCGGTGGTCGGCGGCGGTGGTACTGCAGTGGGTTGGGTACAATGAACACTTGCAAAATAGTGTTCAAAACTTCAAACCCTAATGGTACAAAATCCTAATGGACACAAAATCCTAATTCCCACAAATATTTTAGAGAAAACTTGGCTCTGATACCATGTCAATTATAAGAAAAATAATTCTCTTGTCTTGTTTCAAAGGATTGATACAAGACTATAAATAGTTGTCACAAAGAAGAAACTAAAACGAAATTCTTGCCTATTAGGATAAGGAAAACACTTACCTACTAGAATAAGAAAACCCTAATCTAAATACAATAGGAAAAAATAATTTAACAATCATCAACCAAAGTCAGTGCAGCAAAATGACTCCCACACACTAAAGTCTCTCCTGCTCCCAAAACTGGAGGCACAGCAGACTCCCCCTCAATAGCCGGGGCCATAGGGGCCTTAGGAGGAACAACAACTGGGATTTCGGCACCCAAACCTACTTAGAAACAATAGAACAAGTCGAATCTGAATGTCCAAAAATACAGCATCTAGAACACCGTTTGGGGCTTCCAAGCATATTCAACAGCAATAGTAAATAAATTATCACGAACCTGAACTTTGACTGATGTAGGTAAAGAAGAAGCTCATCTCAATACATACCCGGGCAAAAAGAAAGCCGGCTCTGCTCCTCAGTAGCCTTATCAAGACATATCAAGACATAAAGGAGTCTCAACCACACTAGCAATAACACTAGCAAAACTAAAGGATTGGGGAACAATATTAGGCGTCCACCGACAAAGAAAAAGCAGCTTGCCACCAATATAACAAGGCCCATTGGCCATAATCCAATCACATGACGTACTATGCAGGAACTGGAAAAAAATAAGGCCATTTCCAAGTAGGTAATAATCAGCTCCTCCACATTTGCCCAAATATGAGTCACCAACCGAGAAACCACTGCATACGGAGGACGAGAATCCAAAAATTGGCCCAAAGCTTCTCTTCCTCACATACTATCTCAGCTGAAGGAACCGCAATGGACTCCCCATCCACCAACACTAGGGGAAAATAATCAAGAACAGAAGCCAAAACAGAAGAAGACCCAAAAACACCACGCCAAGACAATGTGTCACCTTGAGCCAGCTTGCCCTTATCAAACACCCTATCACCAGAAAAAGACAAACCCGCCTCATAGGGCAAAGAACCAGTCCCCACGACCACATGAGCCTTTCCCAAATCAGAACCACGAAGAATCACCATAAACCAACAAAGAATCAACAAGTGGTGACACGAAACCAATATTAATCGGCAAAAAATTGGCCCCTAACACTCCCAAAGTCGCCGAACCGGATGTGGGTCCATCAGAACCAGGCCGGATTAGGCTAGACCAGTCACCCGACCCAAACCGGACCAACCCATCAACAAGTAGCCCATCAGGTACACCCCGTAGCCCCGACCCATACACTGAAACC